AAAGGTATTTCTTTCTAAGTTGCTTATGATGTGCTTTTACATCTAAAGTCATGTATCCATTTAATTTATCTTGTTAAAGATTATGAGGGTGCCAGGCTGAGCAGCGGCTGCTGCAGCGCCAGGACAATGAGGTTGTTGCTGCTCCTGCTCATAGCGGCGGCGCTGCTGGGCGAGGCCTCGGCCAACGCGGGCGGTGAACCAGGCAAGCAGGCAAGCGGCTCAAGATGCAGTACGCCACGGGGCCGCTGCTCAAGTTCCAGATGTGTTTCCTGAGGGTATAGGCGGGTGTTTGAGGAGTACATACGGGTTATTAGCCAGGGGTACCCAGACATCCCGCATAGGAGAATTACCTCCCTCAACCAATATATAGACATATAGCATCTTTCCTGTCAGTCTTCAAACTAGTATTAATAGGCTTAATAATTGTTGGCAAAGATCCTTTTGCTTTCTTTGGCATGCAGGCTCCAAGCATCTGGCAATGGGGCCAAAAAAATAAGGTCTATGCATGTATGATGGTTTTCTTCCTAAGTAACATGATTGAGAACCAGTTTATGTCAACAGGTGCATTTGAGATAACACTAAATGATGTACCGGTATTGTCAAAGCTGGAATCTGGTCACCTTCCATCCATGCGGCAGCTTGTTCAAATTCTTGACGAGATGAAGCTCAACGTGCACATGGATTCAATCCCACATCATTGATCACAGCCCCATCTTTCAGCCCTGAAAACTCTTTTGCATTAATGGATTTTTGTGAGAGCAGTGTGGTTGGCACCAATGAAGGTCTGTACTGAAGACAGCATGCTGTTAGTACAGACCAGATACTTATTTGCAGCCTCGCTGAACTTCTTGGAAAACCTCAATGCAAGACAGTCTTTCAGTGCTGGCATGTTTTGGAATACTGCATATTCGTGGAGTGCAATAATATTGCATAGTTATATTTTTTTAAGGGTTAATTCAGCCAGTTAATTGTTTTAAAATGCAGGCTTACTACTTGTAACTTTATTTCTTAGTCGTGTTTGGGGGTGGGGGAGTGGCAAATTGAGTTAATATCTGATTTTTTTTTCTTTGAAAGATGTCTGTTACATCTGTTGTGATTTTATATGAATTTATATTCTTTTTGTAGTTTAAAATGGGTATTTGGGGAAATAGCTGACATTCCCAAGTACTTTACAAAGTCTGTCAAACACCTCTAATTTGGCTATGTCCTGTTTGTATGGTTTTCAAAATACTGCAAATTGCGAACAGTGTATTATACTAGATTATGAAAAAAAAAACCTAATATCTTGAGTACAATACCATTTTTGTGATTACAAGAGAACTACTAAAAGACTAACCGCTTTTTAAATCCTGTTGTCTAGCTCAAGTGTCTTGCCTTGACCAGTCTAATGAATTGGTTAACTGGGCCTTTATACTTATCCTAAATATAAAACTAAGCAAATTTAAGTTAAATAAAAAGTTTTCATTTCCTGTGGAAAAAAAAATAAAGATTATGAGATGTTGGTTATATTTAATTTCTGCTGAAATGCCTTCCAGTTTTCCCAGTAGTTTTTACCAAACAGTCTTTGCCACAGGAAACGCAGTCTTTGGCTTTACTGAACACTAGACAGGCAGAAAAAAGGGGGAAAAAAATTCAAGCAATTAACAATTGGAAAACTGCACCAAAGAATTAATAAAAAGAAAAATGCAAATTCAAGCAACTCTGATGTTCCACCTCACATCTATCAGATTGGTGGAGTTGACAAAAAAAGAAAATGACAAATGTTGGAGGATCTGCAGGAAAACAGGAACAAAATTTTTTTAATAGTATAAGAAATGTATTTTTCAAACCTTTCAGTTGTATTCTACATTCACACATTTACAAGGGTACTGTAACACTTTTCTTATTCAGAAATATTTATGCAAAAGAACATAGACAAGTACCTAGAAGGAAAAGGTCCTTTGAGAAGTCTAGAGGCTGCGGGATGTAGTGAAAAGAACAATGGTCTAGGAGTTATAAGAGCTAGCTTAGAATCCTTGTTCTACCAATCATCTTAGCTGTTATCACAGTGCATGCCATTTAACCTGTCCAAGCTTCGGTCTTTCTAGCTGCAAAAAAAGTAACAACTGCCCTGTCTATCACACAGTGTTATATTTAAAGGATAAGAATAGGGGCTGAAATTATTTACTGAAATTTATTTACTGGTATAAGGAACCTCCTGGTTGAGGAAACTTTCCCTATCAATGCAGACTGACACCTTCTCTACAACTTACAATCTTAGAAAGCTGCTTTATGCACCAAGAGATTAAGTGATTTACCAACCATCACATAGCCAGTACATGGTAGAGGCTAGACTTGAACCCACCCGACATGGCAGAAGATTTGAACCTTGATCTTCCTGGCTCGCAAGCTAGCTTTCTATCCATCAAATCATGGTATAATAATACTCAAATGGACCTGTGATCTCATTCGGGTGTGCCCTCCAAGGAGCCTTGTTTTTTGTTTCTCTTTTTATGTTCTGATTTGGTTTTTTTGACAGACCTGTGATTTCACTAGCATAGAGAACTCCTAGACAGGAAACTCTCTACCATGTTATCCTATGTCAAAGGTAAAAAATGTTATTCGGATTTTTAAAAAGTGGCAAAATCTTTACACTGTAACTATATACTATAACTATATAACTACATACACTTTAACACTATACAATATAAATACATTCAACCTCAGATTTGTTTAAAAGTTTTTTGGGTTTTTTTTTAATCATCTGGAGTTTCCAGAGGTTAAGTGACTTGCCCAGAGGTCATAAACCAGGATGTGTTAGTCAGAATTCAATCTTCCTCATTGGCTTTGTGGCAGAGGGAGCTAACAAACCCAATCCACCTCAGAAGATTCTCAAGGCTTCACTATATTGCAGCACAATACAATATTGAATTCTCATACGAGTTTTAAATTAACTTAATAAATAGCCAAAACAATTACAAAGATTTTCCTGAAAAAGATATTTAAAATAAAAAAGTTCTAGCATTTAAAGCAATAAATTTCATTCATCTGTAAAACAGACTTTATAGAGAATACTTTCATCCTCCCAATGAAGCAGATAAACAAGATGTGATACAGCAAAAAGTTTGCTAGATTCGGAGTCAAAGAACTTGAAGTCCAAATCTCAGCTCTTATCTTCCTGGGTCTGTGACCTTGGGCAAGCTACTTTTCTGGGCCTCAGTTTCTTCACCTGTAAAAAAGGGGACTAGATTAGATGGTCTCTAAGGTCCCTTCCAGCTCTAAAACTATTATTTATGCTACTTAAATATTTATAGGCTTAGTGAATGCTAACAGTGAGAAGGTGCCTTACAGATCATTTTATCCTGATTTTACAAAGAGGAAGCTGAGGCCTAGCCAGACATAGAAACTGAACCCAAGACAAATTAGAGGGAGAATCATGACTAAAATTCTGACTTAAAGCCCAGTGTTCTTTCCAATAACAAAACTAGTAGGTGTAACCATAACCCCAAGGGAAAAATCACTGGAGTTCAGACTAACTCAAACTCATTCCATAATACACACTCCTGTCTACTTTTGGCATATCTTTACCTTTCTTCCCTTCTGACCTGTAATTCATGCCAGGCTCACAGTCTTATATTTATTGATTATTACATATTTTTCAAATAATATTCACTGTCTTGTTTTCACAACTTAGTATACAAAGCATGAATTTTTATCTCAGTTCTACCAAAATGCATTAATTACTCAAATAACTTGTCCAGTGTAACACAGCTAGTTAATGGCAGGGCTAAAACTAGAACCCACACGTTATTTATCCAGCAACCAAAGGTAAGAACTTAGACTATCTAAAAGACTTGTTATTTCCGAAGTGTGAGGAATATTAAGCCCAGTAATCTACATACTACCCCAAGCTGGCTCTCTATATACAAAAACCTAGAAGAAAAAGTCTCTGAACAGTCAAGAAGTAGTTTTTCTTCCGATATATCATACTGCCTACTTCAAATAACACCTCACCAGAGAAGCTCTGACTATGTTAATCTTAAATTAAGATTTTCAGGTTTAATCTTAGTTTATGTAGATGTTACTTACTCAGTCTAGAAAAGAAAAGTGGTATTTCAGAAAGATTCAAGATACTTGATTTCTATTTCCATACGTGTCACTAGCTGTGAAATTGAGGCAAGTCATTAAAGCTTTCCGGTCGGTTTCCTTACTAAAATACAGGGATTGGGTTGGAATATTTATAATATACCTCCTATCTCTGAAATGATTTTAATGCTTTCATTCAAAGCAATAAACTTCATTCATCCGGAACTTGTATTCTGTAATATGACTAAATAACAGGTGAAGATATTCCTTTATATAAGAGAATATTTCCCATCCATTACAATGTAGTCAATTTTTTTTTTAAGAAATCTTAGAAAAGGCTGTTCCTTCTCAACAGAGGATCTTGCGGGGCAGAGGGGTGGCACAGCCAGTGGAAAGGAACAAAGGGTATTTTACCTCCCGTATCCCCCATCCCGGGCAGATGCAACGTGGTTCAGAGCTGATCCTATCTGACAGCGAAGGCCTGCACTGCTCGGGGTCAATCAATGACCAGATCAGCTTCCTGCGGTCGCCTCACAGGCAAGCACACTTTAACCCTCCCCGGAAAGTGTCAAGGTAAAATGAGCACAACACCCGCCCTTCGGGGCACAGAGCGCCGCTCCCTCCGTACGTGGCAGCAGGCCGGGCCGGCCCGGGCCCCTCCCGATCCCCCCCCAGCGCCGGGCCGAGTCCGGCAGGTCCCGTCGAAGGGAGGCCGGCGTGGCTGCTCGTTAGCGTCCGACAGAAGCTCCGAGGGTAGCCTCGGCTCGGCTCTCCCGGCCAGGTCCGCGCCCGGCCCCGTGCCTGGGGCAAGAAGGACAAGAAGCCGCCACGAAGCTGCCCCTCGGCACTCATCCAGCGTCCTCCCCGTAGCCAACCTCGCGGAGCAAACGACGGACCAGCCCCGACCCAGCCCGGCCTCGCCCCCTCCATCGTACCCGCGTCCGCCCCGCGGCCGGCACCGCAGCTCACCTGGTGGTGAGGCGTCAAATCCGCATCCGGCTTCCGCTCGCGCTCCGGCTTCCCCTCCTCGCGCCTCTCCCGCGCCCCCCGCGGCGCCGTGGCGGTCCAGACGTGGCAGCCGTGCCGCCCCCGCCCCCTGACGCACGGGCCGAGTCCTGACGGAGCCCGAGCTGATGACCCGGACCTGAGGGGGCGGGGGGGAGGGGAGGGGGAGAGGAGGGAAAGGAAGAGGCCCCGGCTCGGGTGGAGGTGGGAGCCACCGGCGATCCCGCAGCCGCTTAACGCCGTGTTCTCCCGCCCAGCCTGGGGCTGCGTCAGACCCCGGGCCTCCGGCTTAGACTCATCACCTTCTGGAAACGACTCCACCTTTTCTCTCATCTGCGAGAATTTCATCAGCTTTGGGATCGCGTATTCACCCAGGAATAAACTAACTCTGGAGTCACGCAGGACCGGTGTTTCCTAGTGATATGAGTAATGAAGAGGAAGCACCCAAGTAACAGATTCTTTTTGCTTCTACGAGGAAGCCTATTTTCATTTCACAGGATTTAGAGCTGGCAAAGAATCTTGGAAATCATTCCCTGTAATGCCCTTATTTTACAGATGAATAATAAGAGTTCTAGAGTAAGTGATTTAGCCCAAGGCACATAAGTGGGGAAGTTTTCCTTAACACCTTGGTACGACTCTGTTGTTTCTCTTTTGCATTATTTTAGCGCTGCTATAGACTTAAGCTACCAATGGTACAGAAGAGCATCGGATTTGGGAAAAGTTCCAGCTCTACAACTTACCCTACTACTTGTGTGACTGAACAAATTTCACATAACTTCTCTTGGCCTCAGTTGCTTCCCTCTGTGGACCTCAAAGGACTGTGAGAAAAGTAAAAATGTATTCAGTCAGTTCAGCAACAGTTATTAAATGATTATGTGCCAGGTACAGTGGTAGGGCAGTAACAAAAGAGGTAAAAGGCCCTGTTCTCAAGAAGTTTAAAATGTAATTGGGAGAAAGGGGTTAGGAGGAAGAAAACAAGTACTCACTGGTCCCTGCCACCATCGTGTAGGGAACGAAATTCTTTATAGAACAGACTAGAAGTAATCCCCAAGAATTACCAGCTGCCACATATGTGGCAGACAAGCCAATCTAGCTGAAGCAGCAAGGCACTACTACCATATCGTTTCAGATTTCACAGGCAATAGCCCAGGACACTAAACCTAAGAGCCCTGGGAATAGTAGTGGCCAAACATTATCCATAACTCTCACAGAGTGGAAAAGTCATAGTAAAGAAGAGTCTCCCTTGCTTTACCATCACCAACACCAATTGATGACTACCTGCCATCATCAAGCAGGGAAGCCCTGGAGTTCTAGGAATGGCAACACTTCCCAGACCCCCAGTCCTGCTTCCAATACAATCCCCACAGTCATAATCCTGGGAAGTGTGATTTATAAAAAGTTGGAGAGACATAGTTTCTGGGTAATTAATCATTTTTTAATTGTGCTAGCAGATAAATAATAAAAGATGTCAGTGGTACTCTGTAATGCCAGAGACCCCTCATGAAACCCACTCAACACTTATATGCCTTGGGAAGAGTGGGAATTCTTGCAGGTGACAATCAACTCTGATTGATTAACAATTAATGAAAAGAGTGAATATTGTAATGAGAGGTGGGCTTATTCCAATGGGGCAGGACTCTCTGAACACTCAGTCTTGGACTAAGAGACTTGTCTCTTATCCAGACTACCCCCAGCTAGGGCAATGTAGACAAAAGGGGGTCCACCTCTGTTTAGACCTGGCTGATTAGAACACAATGAGCTAGAATTCACCTCAGGTTAAATTCTTTGGTTCTCTAGTTGGATGGGATGTCCCACCCAGGATGAAAAGGCATATGCCCGGGGAGAATGAGGAAGGGAAAAAAACCTGGATGTCCTCAATAATTAATTATTTAATAATCATTTCTCTCAGAAGCAACCTCTGGAGCTACAACCCAGCAGCTGTTTCTGTGCATGCTCCTGCCCCTGCTTCCCCTGCAGCCACAGCTACTGAAAAACTAGAAAAAAAGTTCACACCACCAAAGACACCATAGCATTGTCAAATGGTTCACCATAAGAAAAGGACATGGTTGTCAATAGAAATGGTATCGAAGAAAATGCATTGCCATCTTCTTTGCCACTGCACCCAAAGAGTCATGGAGCCTTTCCATCTGACTATTAAACTGAAACTTCTTTGTGTTGTCTCCTTTAGACTGTGAGTTGCTTAAGAGAAAAAATTGTCTTGATTTTCTGTTTGTATCCTCAGTGCTTAGCACAGTGTTTTACAATTAGTAAGTGCTTAATAAATGGTTTGTCAGTCAGTCATTTAGTCAGTCGTTCAAAATTGAAACAAAATGTGACTCATGTAGACTATATTGGATATAACAAAAGAAGTCTATGTAAAATCATGAAAAGGACATTTGACTAGGATATATGACTGGTTCTGAAGAATGCAGCTCCTCTGATCCACATAGGGAGGAGGGTGAGTTGGCTTGCACAGCAGCAGGAAGCCCATCAAGTCTGAGGGTCTGATTCCATATATACTGGGATTTTTATGCCTTAGGTGACCAGGAAGCTATTTCAATTGTATGAGATTTCGTTCCCTAGAAAAAGTAAGTCTTGAGGATGGTTTCATTGCCTATGTATGGCCTTGGCGGATGTTGTGAAACTAACCTGCCCTTTGTGTAAGAGATGTGCTCCTGCTACATCCCATTCCTTGTTGGTAAGGTTCTAAAAAGTCTTCCATGGGGCTTTATACCATTTAATTGGCCTTAAGTCTATTACTGGACAATTCTGAAGGATTAAGAAAGCCCACTGTAGGCAGTACTTAAGTAATAACTTAGGGCAGGCAAACAAATGAACAGAAAGAAAAGACTCCAAGAAATATAATGGTCCCTTAAAGTAGTACCATAACAAAATGGGGAGGAATGAAGGCCAAAATTCTTAGGTTTAACTTCCACCTTGGAAAGAATTGACTTCCAGATGTTAAAATTTTGGTCTGTGTAATGAATGTTGCCAGATATTTGAAATTCACAGTGGGTTTATTGATATAAATCAATGATGAGGGCCTCAACCAAAAAGACACTTCTGGGAAAGTTACTGACCCTTGTCACAAGTCAGGAACATCTGGAGTAAGGCAGCTAAGAGGTCATTATCATCTTAAACATTTGTATCATATTAAAAGACTTTAGTATTGTTCAGTAATAATTCAAAAATGGGAATTTCCTGTTTTTTTTAAATAGCTTTTGAAGCATTAAAGTTAATTGTTCTTTATTTGATAGAATTCACTTGAATTCACAGAAATCCATCTGATGCTACACATTTTCCCCCCACTGGAAGCCTACTTATGGCTTGTTCAATTTCTTTTCTGAGATTATGTTATTTAAATCCTGTATTTCTTGTTCTGGGCATTTTATATTTTTGTATATATTGTGAAGGAAATTCTGATTTTTGTAATAATCAATATGATATGGATAATGAATATACTAATAGATTAGATTTTTCAGAATTGTCTTTCCTGGCCTGTGAGTCAGACTCACAATGCAGCTTGAACTGATCAGTCAAACCTTGGCAAGGCTCACAATCACTGGCATCCTGCTGCCTGCATGCCTGAAGTGAAGGGAATCAAAGACTGTAGAACCTGTTCCCCTCACGGAACTCTGGTCCTGTGACCCACTGAGTAACAACCCCCAAGGACTCCAAAATTGTTGTATTGTCATCCATTTGTGGGCTTGTCAGGGGAAACCACTCTGGTCCTGGGAACTATTTTTTGTAATTCATCTTCCCCCCCCCCTTCCCACTTGTGATTTATGTATATAATCTCTATCTTCACTTCAGCAAGGTGGAATTCTGATCAGGAGAATTCCTGATTTGCAAACCTGTTCCTCATAATGAAACTAATTAATTAAATGGCTACCTGATTACTGGCACTTTGTCTCTGGCCTGCTGCTTCATCATTCTCAGGTTAGAGACTAGCTCAGTAAAATCCAGTTAACAATATCCTTCCATTTAATTTAGATCATCATTGATATGTAATTGTGTGAAATTGTTTCTACTAATTTCTTCATTGATTGTGAATTCAGCTTTTTTATTTTTGATACTAGCCATTCATTTATTTTAGAATTTGGTTTTCTTTAAAATCAAATTTGCTCTTTCTAGTCATGTGATTAACAAGATGAAGGACTACACATTTTCTTTGATCCTCTCTAACCTTTAAAAATTCTCCAAAACAGAAATTATGCAGCAAAAATAAAGCAACCTTTAGATGTTTCTGTGATTTAGTACAGCCAGAATCCAAAAGAGGGTAAAAACAAAAAGAACTCATGAACCAACTTCTACACTGAGCTCTCTCTGCACCTCTCCCCCACCTCCCATGCTACTGGCATCAAGGCTGTAGTTAGCTAACCCAAGAACCTGACACACAAGCTCACAACAAAACCCGGTTGGGGAGTCACTAGGTACAGAAATTTGCTCAATGAGAACTAACACGGTAGCACTCCTAGAATGGAAGTTTCCTGGAGCCCTGAGAGTTAACAGCATCAGCATCATGGTGGTACTCCAAGAACAGAAACTTGCTGGGAGGTCAGCAATATATGTTGCGAAAGATCTTGGTAGCAGGGCCAAAAACAGAGAGAAAGGGGCAGGATGTGTGTCTGTGCTTAAAACAGAACTTCATAGCTGATATTCTCCTCCCAGAGGCTGAGACCCAAAGTATAGAAACCAACTCTCTGAACTGCTAGTACTGGGCCAGAAAACTGAGGAAAAAAGTGGGATAGGCCACTGGAACAGGTTGTGTGGGTGGGGTGTGGAGGGGAGAGGAGAGAAGGTGGAAGCAGAGTATGAGGCAGTCCATTAAACTTGAGGGAAAGAACTCAGCATCCATCTGAGCCAGTTCGGGCACTCCAAAAGTCACTTGGAGCAGAGACCTAGGCTGGGGAACCATGAGTTGTAGCAGGAATTTGAGATGCACTGAGATCCAGCCCCAGGAAACCAGCATCAGATGGGAGAGCATAAGAAAGTGAGCAATAGGGAAAAATAAAAGGGAGGAGGGAAATAATTAAATTACCAAAAATCTCAGGAAGAAAAAAACTCAAAGACTTGTATATAAGCAGATAAATCAACAGGGAAAACATTGAAAACAGAAAGAAATATGGCCTAAATGAATTCAGGTATCTATGGAAAAGTACTTCAAAATAAAAAAGGTCTAACAGAGAACCTTGTGGAATTTGAGAGCATGGAAATACAACACACTGTTTTTGATTGTCTTAAAAGATAAAGGAGGATTATGGGAGCAGAATTTATGGCCTGCATGGCAAAAATAATGAGCAGAATAGAAAAACTGAAATCTTCAATAGCAAGCTGAGGCCAAAGAAACAAAAGAGAAAGTAATAGATTGAGAATGCAAATACACAGATGTGAAGGATTAGCTAGAAGAAGAGAAGCAAAAAAACAATATTTTAAAAAATATACTCACTATATGCAAGTAAAACATACCAATCTCAAAGACAGGATGTATACAGGTAACATAATTCACAGAACATAACAGGACAAAAAAACCTTAATATCACAGTGCAGGAGATAATAGAAGAGAACTGCCCAGATAATTAATGAAATACCAATTGAAAGGATTCATAGATTCCTTCCAGAAAATAATCCAAGGGGCAGCTAGGTGGTGCAGTGGATAGAGCACCAGCTCTGGATTCAGGAGGACCTGAGTTCAAATCCGGCCTCAGATACATAATACTAGCTGTGTAACCCTGGGCAAGTCACTTAACCCCATTGCCTAAAAAAAAGAAAGAAAAGAAAACAATCCAAGACTACAAACTCCAAGACAAAGAGTGATTAAGTTTAGTAACAATTCAGAAACAAGTTTTGTAAGCAATCAGGAGAAAGATCTTCAAATACAAAAGAAAAGAAAACTTAAATAACAGAAGACTATTCTGAACACACCAGATATTTTAGATGGGAATGTAATCACATGTTTCAAAGAGCAATGAAGCTCAGGAGGCAACCCAGGATGACCTACCCTGCAAATCTGAGCTTCATTACACAGGAAAAAAGTTTGACATTCAATAGTAAAGAAGCATTTGAAACATTCTTAAAAAGAAAATCAGAGAGGGGGAGCCAAGATGGTAGAGAACAGGCAGCAACCCAGCTGAACTATCCCAACATTTCCCTCCAAAAAACTTAAAATAATTCCTCATATCAAATTTTGAAATAACAGAGCCAACAAAAGGTCACAGTGAGATATTTGTCCAGCCTAAGACAACTTACGAGGTCAGCAGTAGAGTTCTGTGACACTGAGGGCCATGCCAGCCCAGCACACAAGTAGCATCAGTGTTGGTCCATAGTGGTAGCTGTGACAGTGGTGGCAGCAGCTTCAGGAGCTTTCAGCCCAGAGACAATGAAGGGATTGGCCAACTGGCCAGGAAGATTACAGGGGACTCTTTGCTGACACTGGGTATAGCTGGCACCGATTGGCAACTATTGCCCATCCACAGTTCTGGGTGACAGTTCCAGGGCAGGAAGGAGCACTTGTAGTCAGTCATGAGGGGAAAAGGGATTAAAATTTTTGTAGACATAAAAGCAACATAGCCAAGATTAGAAAGAAAACAGAAAATTAGGGGGGGAGGGAATTTTTATGGACACTTTCTTGGTTAAAGGTCTCATATCTCAAATATATAGAGAACTTTGTCAAATTTGTAAGACTATGAGTCATTCCCCAATTAATAAATGGTCAAAGGCTATGAACAGGCAATTTTTAGATGAAGAAAGCAAAGCTCTATATAGTCATATAAAATGCTCTAAATCACTATTGATTAGAGGAATGACAAGTAAAACTTTGAAATATTATCACACACCTATTAGATTGTCTAAAATGCTAGAATGGGAAAATGACAAATGTTGGAGGTGGTGTGGAAAATTTGGGACACTAATACTGTTGGTGGAACTGTGAACTGATCCAGCTATTTTGGAGAGCAATCTGGAATTATGCCCAAAGAGTTATAAAACTGTGTACACCCTTTGACCCAGCAATACCACTATTAAATCTGTTTCCCAAGATGGCCAGGGAAAAGGAAAAGAACCTATATGTGCTAAAATATTTATAGCAGCTCCCTTTGTGGCAGCAAAGAACTGGAAATTGAGGATATATCCATCAATTGGGGAGTGGATAAACAAACTGTAGTATATGATTGTCATGGAATACTGTAAATGTGCTGTAAGAAATGATGAACAAGTTGATTTTAGGAAAATACATGTAAAGACTTTATGAACTGATGCAAAGTGAAATGAGCAGAAGCAAGGGAACATTGGATACAGT